TGCCCTTCAAATTATAACAACTCTTCCTTTTTACAAAATATGTTTGATGGTAGCATGCAATTCTGAGCTTTAAACATGAATAAAAGAATATTATAATCCACCAAATCATAAAACTTAAGTATTTTCAATTGACAAAACAGAACATTAGAAGGGTGACAATAACACTTTTTTGTTATAATTTTTACAGCTCTTTTTTGCAGAATAAAAATAGGCTTTGTTATTGTTTTACATGCCGTACCCCAAACAGTGACACAATAGATTAAATGCGGGACTACAAGTGTATTATATAGCAAATATAAAGCATCATTGTTTAATAAGTCCCTTACTCTGTATAATACTGCATTTGACTTAGATATTTTAATTTTTACAAGATTTATATGCTGTTTCCATGACAGTTTATCACCAATAATTACACCCAGAAACTTTACTTCATTCACTCTACATATCTCAGTACCATCAATTTTGAGAGAAAAATCCAACCCAATTTTTACAACCCAGTAATGCAATTTTCCTCTTAAAAAAATACTGCAAACTCCCATCTCGGCAGCCCTATATTCTCCCGCGGAGGGAGATCAATTTGTGCCGATCAACTCCCCTTTTCACCCCTTTCTACGCATGCGTCAGGTCGCGACCTATTCGACTTGTCAATCACGCAGAAGAGTTGGAGCAGCTCGGTCAAATGAAATCAAACCGTTTTTTTGCGTATCCAACCAAAAAAAAAACGTTAGAAACTGAACGGTCCGTTACCGAGGAGCGGTTCGGTAATCCAGTCGTTAAGTTACTAAAGTATACTGACCAATTCATGTTCAAGGTAATTATAGCTTTTCTTATGTATTTAGGAAATGTCTTTGCAGTTATTAGCTCCGGACACGGATAGCATTAGCTTTGGATACTTCGATAAAACTAACATTATGCTAACAGCGAGGTTCGGTTAGCTACCATAATTTTGACGGTTGAGGTAGTTTAGATACCGAAGGCTGACCAATTAATTTCAGGCAGATGACGGAAAAAATACGTGGAAATAAGAAAAGAGGTCAAGAATCAGAGCCGTTTAGTTTTTTACAACGTCTTTTGTATGTTGTTACCATTAGATACATGCTAATGCTTTAGTGTTTTTAAAAAAAACTAATTCTTAGGTTTTAGAGAAAAGTGTGTCGCCACATTTTATTTATTTGTGTTAACAGGAGGTGACAAGATAAACATGAACAGTGATTTAAACCATGAAGTAGTTGTACAAAAATTTTTGAAAAGCCTTTTAAATTATGCTTTTACTGCTTGTTTGTATTAATAAATTCAATCTGAAACCTTTAATCTAGTAAAATGCTTAATCTGCAAGTAGATATTGCACATTTTATATTTTACCTCAATACAGAGACATTAATTACAACAATTGGTGTCATAGCATTGGACAGTGAACAGTGTTGTAAAACGTTTGACATTATTTATTCTCAATTAAAGCAAATACCAGTAAGTTTCAACTCAACAAGGACCTTGTGAAAGTTGGGGACTGTTTATTTTCAGCATGAGCCGTTTGCAGATGCTGACACACACACACACACACACACACACACTTTTTTACTCTATAACCTGTAACTTTAAACATAAATGGATAACCGATATCCCAATTTACCCTATATGAATTAAAGTGGTTATTAGCTTTCTTTTTCAATAAGAGATTCTGAAAAGTTGGAACACATCTATACATTTGTTAACAATTTATTTATTAACAATAACACATGTCATTCAGATATATTTGTCAAATATGATGTGCGGTCAAGAAAGACGTTGCCTGACTCCAGGTTGCATGTAGAGCAGTCGTTTAAGGCTTCAATCCCAACATACGAGCAGCTGAACAGCTCTTGACAAGCATTTCCTTTCTCACATTAGAAATAAGTACATCGCTAACCAACAAAACCTTTTAATCAGTGCAACAGTCCAATTTTCAGAATTCGATAACCTGTCCATTGACTTCACTGTCTGTTGACCCCAAACAATCCCACAAACCATTACGTGCCATATTCAGTAGGCGGTCTAAACAAAGAAGGCGGTATCTGTGAAACAGCTCATTGAGTGGCACACACTTTTTATTATTAATGTGTGAAATCTGCCTAATACTCTTGTTTTTATATAGTTAAACTTTACAGCATTGTATTGACCATTTTATAAACTAAAGCATTAATATGCCTTAAATTATGTTGTTCACATTTTGAAATGCCAAAACTGGACAACTAGTCAGCCTTATTTTATTGTCTAAAATACCTCATTTTATTTTTGGCCTTTTAAAAAATGCTCCCAACATGTAAAGTGTTGACAAAGTGAAGGCATGAATTTCCAGTTTTGTCCACCAGAGGTCAGAAAAAGCTTTGTCAGATAATTAGAGACGCTACTGTAGTCGTTAAAACTTTATATATATATATATTCGAACTTTTTTTTTCCATTTCTTTTCGTCACCTGTATGAAATAGCTTAACTAAAATTAAAAAGTTGTGAAAGTTTGGAGCTTTGATGTGTAGTAATATCAGATCTGGGTCATCTTGAAACTGTAGCAGCTCATGTTTTGATTTGGTCTTGAAATGCACATGGGTTCAAAACTATCTGCGCTTGTGTATATAGTGATGTAATGTGGCATGTGTGTGTCCGTAGTGTGAGTGGATAAAATCCTTCTAATATTTTGTCTTAATGAACAACATGCCCATTTTAATTGTTTTTTTTATCTCCACCAGTGGAAAGACGCAAAACCCGATGAGCTCATGGATTCCAAGCTGAGATGTGTCTTTGAGATGCCTTCTGAAAATGATAGAGTGGTAAGAGGCATAGCTGCACATTAAAACAGCTTATTTATAACTTGAATTATTGCTCTGTTGATTGGGGATTTGTGTTGAATGTTAAAATGCCAGAACATTTTAGAGGAGGGAGACGTTAAAGGAAGGCAGCTCTTTAGCATCAAAAGCAAAACACGTAGAGTTGTAAAAATTGCCAAAGAACATTTTCATGTGCAATAGCTTTCTGTATTTATCATCTTTTACTCCCCTCTGATGTCTGACTGACTAAATCATGTTTTAAAAGGTTAAATTTGCTCAGGAAGACCATCTGAAATTCTGTACCATTCCCTAAATTAATCGTGAACTCTTGTGTTTGGAGGCGCAAAGAGTTAAAAGTGATTCATAACCTTGTCGTTTATGTTGAAGCTAATCAAGCTTTTTATTTTTATCAAGTATTTTTTGGTCTGAAATTCATCTTTAGTTTAATGTTGTTTTTTATACACTAAATGGTTAAATTGTTGCAGTGGTAAAAACATCATGTTCTCACAACCTTCAGTTGCAGTACAGTAGTTGAATTTTCATACTCTCATAATGCAGGCCTTTATTTCCCCATGTCGTCATCTTGGCCGTCCCACAAACAAAACCACATCAAATCTAACTTTCCCGTCTCTTTGATCTGGTACCATGAACTTTAAACAAGGCGGCCTTTCTCTGACATATTCCTTCATCTAGAGCTTGGCATCCTTCCTTAAGTCAAGCCATGCCAGATTTCACCTCAGTCATGCATTTCCTCCTTTTGTGATGCAGAATGATGTTGAGGTGGCAAGAGCTGTCCCGGTGATGAACTTGGCGAGAGCGGAGCCGACGTCGACCACAAGTCCCGCAGCTGTAGCAGCGGATGATGCCGAGGTAAAGAGAGTGCAAGAGAAGTGCAGGAGGCTGCAGGCCGAGGTCAACAAGCTGACGGAGGAGAACCGACAGTTAAAGGTTAGACGTGCTGCTGAATCATGTTCTTAACATAACGTGTGAATCAGTCATGTGACCATTTTGCACTTGTCTATTTTTGTCAGAAAGGTGTCCAGAAGGTGCAAAATGCAGCCCTAGAATAAAACGTGTAGACATTAGATTTAAAACATTTTTACTGAAAAGAAAATTTCTTCCTAAATTTAATTCCACAAGGTGTAATTCAGCCAAAAAGAATCACCTTATCCAAGAAAAAACATTAGAAAAATGTTTTGAAATTTAAGAATATTGCCTCATAATTTCTTGTAAACACGTTTCCTTTACCAGTTTTTCTGTCTATTAGTCATGTTCTTAAATTCTTTGTCTTTTTGTTTTTACAGGATGACGTTAACAAACTCAGAAAAATGCCTCGCTCAGACCACATGACTGCAAACTCCACCAACCTCGTCGGCCGAGAACACACCATCGCCTATTTGCCCTCCCTGCTTGTTGTCTTAGCAGCGATCTTCATTGGCTTTTTCTCTGGAAAATTCATATTGTAGACTGGGGGAATGCATGCCAGCCGTATCTTCAATTTTGGCTTCTGAAAAAAGTAAATAAAATAAAAAGGCCTGGAAAAAGCAACAAGTCTTTTCGTTGACTTTGCCATGTCGTTGATAGTGTGGCCTCCAGTGAACACATCTGTACAGCATCATTCGAAGGTGTTGCTTTTTACAATCTCACGGTTTATTCCCCCAAAGAGTTGACTTAGAACAAACGATGTCTGTTTTCAGTTTTTGATGGCTGGTTTTCAGAAGTGATGGGACAATGAATGTTTACCGTCGGGCAACATGGTGGATGCAAAAATTTGGACCCGTTGGCAGGAAGCAGTTGAAAGATCCAGGTTTAGTTTCTTTTTCTGTGGTTTGAATAGAAATCAAATGGAATGGTAGGTGTCTTGTAAATGCTATTTGAAATTCTTTTTAAACAGGGATGGACAGTTTTCCATTTCAACAAACCTGTTGCTGGTTTGCCTCTGAAATCAATTTGTAATTTCTATTTTTTTTCCGTTGGAATGTTCAGGTCCAGCTGGGGTTATAGGTGCTTCTTATTGTACATTTGTCCTGTTGTCCCAACAACACAGATGCAGAAATATTATTATTATTATTATTATGAAACATGCTGTAACACTTATTCCTTCTGAGGCAAATATTGACTGAAATGAAGTTTTCATTCTTAAAAAGATGTCCCATGGTATTAATCATTAAATAAAAATAAAAACTGTTTTTATAGCAGTCTTTTCATGTGTCATAAAAACATTTGCTGCCAGTAGCAGATTTGCTGTTGCCTGCAGTAAATGTTCTGTCAGCATGACATGGCTGAGCTTTAACCGAACTGAATGGATCTATTCTACAGAACAGCTTGGCAAATCAAAAGAAATCTGGGATTGTGCTCTTTTTTTTTTTTTTTTTTATGTTTGGGAAAAAACGTTGGGATTTTAATGAATTTTATCTTGTACTGACCATCTTGTGCATGACGAAACTAATAAATTAACACATTTCAGCCATGATGGTAAACGAGCTGCAAAGTTTTTATTTTTTTTAAATATACCTTTTAAGATGATAAAGAGAAACCTTTTATTTATTCATAAGTTGAGTGACGCCTGCAGGAAGGGGTCTTGGGGAAAGGGTGAAATGTTGCTTTTTTCTTTGTAGCAGAGAAATGAAGCTGGTGGCTGAGAGTCCAGCGGCTCCACAGTTTCATAAACGAATGCTGCCAAGAAAAGTAACAACTCAAAGGAGTAATTAAATTGTACAAATGTCTTGCACAATCTTTTTAGATACCCTGGACATTACTGATTGTGAACAGGCATATTTAGTAACATCATAGTGTTTGTGTTTACATTATCTTAGTTTGTGTAGTGTAGTGGAAGCCCCCCCCCCCCCCCCCAAACAATGAAGGCAGCCATGTCGACATGAAGATGACGGCATCCTGAAGTTTATTTGTAAAAAGGTTTTCAGTTATGAAGTTTTGTGGCCTACAGGCTTGTCAAACATTCAGTGTATACTCATTGTCGAAATATAACAAAACACTTTTTGTAGCTGGCGTTATTCAGTCTTTAAAATTTGCATTTTGTTTATACGATTGTCTATTTTTTTTTTCATGCATCCCCGTTCTGTCATACCGAATACAGTATCTGCATCCTTTAACTGTCACGATACGCCTTACTAGTATTAGTTTTACTGTATGTCGGATGAGTCTCATGCTGTCATGACACCATTTTGCTTTAGCGTCTGACATTTTGACATCTACGCTATAGTACGTGTCTCATGATTGTATTGTGACATCATTTTAAACGCTATGTGCCGTAGTATGTCTCAAAGGTGTGACATTTTGAATGCTACACTGTCTCATGACGTGTCGTGACGTCATTCTGAACATCATACTATATTGTGTGGCCTGTGATGGTATGTTGTGTGACCTATGTTAAATGTGAGCTGCATGTTTTGGTGGTGTCATGGGACATGCATGAATCTTATATTATGGCTTTTGACAAAACGCTGAATCATGTTCTGTGAAGTCATACTGAGCATGCTAGTGTTCACCTTATGGTGTCGTGTTATCCTGTACTTTGTCCCATGAGTTCAGTTCCTGAATGTCATGCGTCAAAATTGACCTAAAGTTTTGAGAAAACTTTCATTGTACATGTTACAGAATTTTATGAATCATACAAATGCTGACAGATGACGGTTTAAGTCAAAACACCAAAATGTCAAATTTTCAGATGTACTTTATTAACATGAGTACATAATTTCATAAAAGCTCAGTTTGAAATTAGGCCAAATGTTGGTCTATACTGGTCTGAACTTTCTTCAAAAATGCTGCAGATGAGTCGATTGTATTCCAGACAACAGCACGATCTTCAGTTGGAGTAAGATCCGTGTCTAATACTTCACTCTTCTAAAACTTTTAAGTACCATGTGTTCAGTAAACAGGTGAACACTTTGACAATTGTCAAGACTGTACAAGAGGTTTTCAAAGGATGACACCACGATGTAAAGCTCCAGGTTTAAACGTGAAGGTGGAATCACAGAAAGGTGCTTCCACTCTGTAAAGTGCAGTTTCTGCAGTGCATCAGTTTTAAAGGACTTCAGTTCTCGGCCTTTACACCCAAAACGTTTGGTTCTCACAAAATGCAGTCTCCCGAGTTGTTTGAGCTGCGTGCGCAGACTGCTCTAAGTTTGTAAGAGAAGCAGAGCAGTGACGATGGTGGCAGAAGCCACACTGTGTTGGGGACCACCTCCGTGCCACCCTGAGCAGTCACGCAGCAGAGACCTGTCCTTGTCCCCTCCTCTCTGATCCGGCTGCTGGCTGCTCGATGAGCACTGGACCAGGGGCATCTGGTAGGAGGTGGCCCGCTTCTCAGGGTGGTCGGGGCTGCTGCCGTCGCTTGGACGCTGGCCGTTGTAGAGCAGATAGTGACCGTGGGTGTCCTGCTCCATGCGGAACAGCTCGTACTCCATGTGGGGTAACCGGATGCCTAAAGCCACGCAGCCGTTGGTAGCGGTGACGTCCTGCTCCACGCCAGCTTGCCACGAGCCCTGCACTCCACACTCGTTACCTTTGAAGACGTTGAGGAGGGAGGTGGTGGACACGTCCATGGGCGTCACCCTCATGTGGTTCACTGGAGGAGACAAGACCATTTCTCATCACGTGTTTCTACAGATGTTTCCTAAACTGAATCCAATTTCTGATTTTTGTAAAGCCTTCATGTACTAGTTGAGACTTTTCTTTTTACAACTATACCGCTGAATGCAAAGCCTTTGTAACTAAACAACTACTACAGATGAGGTATATTTACAAATTATATTTTACTGATGCCGTGTCAAGAGGTCATACGGAGTGTCCTACTGTCTCAGTCATGTGACTCAGTGCAATGAGCCAAAAGTAACACGACGTTCAGACGACATGACTTAAACCTTGTATTGTAGTATGACCTCACATGATTCTTTGATGTACGAGATTATATTGTAAGAAATTGCAAACATTACGGTGTAATATATGATAGGATGCTATAGTATGACCTCACAATATGAATGTCTCATGATACTTGGTGTTGTGTCACGTTGAACACCATACATGCCCTTTGTTAGTGTCATGGTTTCATACTAAACGTATGGAAGTATGACATTATGAATAAGATACAATATATTCTCAGCACTTTGTAGTGCAGTTAGTGCTAGAGGAAAGTTTGATTGATCCAGAGATGATACAGTGCATCTCGCTGCGCTTCACTGTTTCCATATTTTATGTTACAGCCTTATTCCAAATTGTATTAATCTCTTTCCTGAATTCTACACACAATTACCAATTATGACAATGTGAAAAAAATACATATTTTTTGAGAGACTTTTAAAAATTTAATAGAAAACTACAAAAATCACATTTACCAAGTATTCTCAGTCTTTGCCATGAAGCTCAAAATTTAGCTCCCATGCATACGGTTTCCACTGATCATCCATGAGTCGTTTTTACAACTTAAATGGAGTCCTCCTGTGGTAAATTCAGTTGACTGGACTTGATTTGGAAAGGTCCACGCCTGTCTATACAAAAGGTCCCACTGTTCATGTCAGAGAGCAAACACCAAGCATTAAGTCAAAGGAATTGTCTGTAGACCTCCGAGACAGGATTGTGTCGAGGCACAAATCTGCGGATGGATACAGAAAATATCCTGCTGTTTTGAAGGTCCCAATGAGCACGTGGCCTCAATTATTCATAAATGGAAGAAGTTTGGAACCACCAGGACTCTTCCTAGAGCAAGACGGCCAACTAAACAGCCATTGGAGGAGAAAGGTCTTAGAGAGGGGACCAAGAACCCGATGGTCATCCTATCAGAGCTCCAGCGTTCCTCTGTGGATAGTGGAACCTTTCAGAAGGACAACAATCTCTGCAGCAATACACCAATCTGTCAAGTAAGCCAGACGAAAACCACTCCTTTTATAAAAGGCAGCTCGTCTGGAGTTCACAAAAACACCTGAAGGACTCTTCGATCATGAGAAACAAAATTCTTTCTTCTGATGAGACCAAGATTGAACTCTGGTGATGTTTGGAGGAAACCAGGTGCTGCTCATCACCAAGCCAATACCACCCCTCCAGTGAAGCATGGTGGTGGCAGCATCATGCTATGGGCATGTTTTTCAGCAACGAACTGGCAGACCAGTCAGGATAGAGGGAAGGATGAATGAAGCAATGCACAGAGACATTCTGGATGAAAACCTGATCCAGGGTGCTCTTGACCTCAGACTGGGGTGACAGTTCATTTTTCAGCAGGACAACGACCCAAAGCACATGGCCCTGATCTCAAAGGAGTGGCTTCAGGCCCAGTCTGTGAAGATCCTGGAGGGGCAAGCCAGAATCCAGACTTGAATCAGATTGAACATATGAGATACCTGAAAATGGCTGCACAGACGTCTCCCAGCCAACCTGACGGAGCTTAAGTACTGCAAAGAAGAATGGGACAAACTGCCTGAAGACGGGTGTGCTCAGCTTGAAGCATCAAATTCAGAAAGACTTGAAGCTGTGACTGCTGCCAAAGGTGGTGAATACTTGTGTAAATGTGATTTCTTAGTTTTCTATTTGCAATACATTTGCAAAAATCTCAATCTTTTTTTTTTTTTTACATCATCATAATGGAGTATTGTATGTAGAATTTTGAGGAAAGACATTAATTTGGAATAAGGTTGTAACAAAATGTGGAAAAAGTGAAGCGCTGCGAGTACGTTCCAGATGCACTGTACAGTATTATGCCAAGTGTCTCATATTAAACACATACTTTTATTCCATATGTATGCATCTCATTCTTGGTCAACGGACATACTAAAAGATGTACTACAGTATTATGTAACGTCTCATGGTATTTTGTCAAGAGCTTTAATAATGAACGGCATACTGTTTGATTCATGTCATATGGCGCCATATGACATGATTTATCTAGTGTCTGTGTCACAAGGTCATAATAATCGTACTTTAAAATGAGTCTTGTGATACTGTCAAGTGACATGCTATAGAATGTCTCATCATACCGTTACGTTTCATCTGATCATGAGACAAATACTAAAGCGTGATGTCATATGACACATGAAACAAATGGTATGATCATTGTAAAGTCACGACAAAATGAGGCACGCTATAGTACAAAGACTAAATATATAGTGTGCAAAGTATCATGCCCAATATGAGACAAGAGTTTGACATTTAGTATGTAATCACATGACAAATTATTAAATGACATGAGTGTAGTATGACGTTCAATGATGTCACATGACTCCAAGTATGAAACGATATGATCAAATATAATGACCGTATGACGTCCTCAATAGTGTCGAGTGATGTGTAAACAAGCGTATGATGAGATGTACACTAGAAGATTTAGTTATGAAATAAACTAATATCGTTACCTTTGAAGACAAAGTCCATTCCGCCCATGACTCTGGTGGAGTGAAGCCCTCGGCTGTAGCGTCCCTGGGCGTAGATGGTGAAGGTGGGGTGTTTACAGCTGGGGTCAGAGTAATGGTAGTAGTGACCCTCCCAGGTGTGGTTGTTGTTGTGGAAGATGAAGTGGCGGGTGAGGAAGAGGACCTCGGGGCGTACCTCACAGCGCTGGCTCACCCACTGACCGTGCAGTCCCACGGTGAGGTCGGCCCGCGGCGGCAGGATGGGGGGGTGGAACTCGTCCGAGCGGGAGATGATGGTACAAACGACGCAGCCGTGGTCGTGATTCTGAAAACAAACGTAGAAATAGGAGAAAGCAAGAATCAGGGAAAATATTAGGGAAAAAAAACTTGCATTAGTTTTAGTAAACTGAAACTTTATTTAAAAATATATATACTTTTTTCACTATGAGTCAACCCAATAGAAGATGGCTGCCACAGCTAGTTGGCATTAGCGAACAAATATATGATAACTCAGTCAGTTTTACACATATTGACATAAGATTTGGTCTGGTAGTTGCTGAAAGGTGCTCAAAACACATATACCAAGAACTAGCAGATCATGCAAGATGATTTCACAAGAAATTAGTTTCAAGGTTGAACCAAAATGGCTGCAACACAGCAAGAGATCATAGTTTAAAACTGGCATGAAAGGTGGCGGACAGGGCTTAATTTGTAAACCAATCCATGCTGGAACACAAATAGTGGGTGGGCTCCCCCAGAAAATGTTGAATAAAGTAGATGTGATTTCTTGCATTTTGGTGTATTTTAACAGGTTGTTAAACATCAACATTTACCTACATTTGTAAACGCTCTGCTTCTGTCAAGCATCCTACACCCCACTTGACAGTTCCAAGCCCGACACGGTCCCTGCTCATTGTGGCCTGACTCCACGTGAAACCTCCAGGTGCCTGCCTGCCTGGTTAGCTCGGCACTCACCCCCATCAATCTTTTAGGAAGATGCTCGTGGCTGTTGTGTTTAAAATTAGTGTTTATGTAATTATTTTCAGTTTACATATCTAATATAAGTTTTACTCGGTCGATATTTGTTCGTAACTTTATTATTAGTAAGCCTGAGAGTCACCGCATCCAAGCAAACAGTTACTGGAACGCACACTGTCAAAATAAGAGTTCCCGGATCCCGTTCTGGCAGGATCCGGCTCAAATTGAGCGCTGGTGGCGAGTGATGTTTGACTCTTTAATTTTTAAATTGCATTGTTTTTACAGAAATGGTCAGTTTGACCGGACCAAATATTAGTTAATTAAAATCTTCTAAACTAGAAAAAAAAAAACTTGCTTTAAGATCTTATAGTAAAGAAATTATCCTGTAACAAACTAAATGTAAGGAAAGCATAAAAAAAGACCTGAATTTGCCCACAAATAATTATACACACACAAACCAACATTAAAAACATAAAAACAGACTCGGACCTAAAATGGATCATTTGTCAGCCACAGTAACGCAGCGGTGAAGCAGAGCGACAGAAAATGAAAGAAACAAACTTAAAACATAAAATCTGCCT